AGTCGGTGGAAGAAGATTGGAAAAAGTTTAAAGACTATTTACAGAAATATTGTAAAATTAATGAATGTTAGAAAAATGTTGGAATGAAGTTATATGGCTTTAGTAGAAATGTTATAAGGAATTAAGTATAGATAGGTTAATAGAGCATTAAAGGAAAAATAAGGTTAGAATTTGTTAAGATAATTAAAGGATAGAAAGCTGAGGAATATGGAAAGGATTTGCTGAAATAATTATCAGAAGTTGAATACAAAGAGGGTGGTGTGAGGTGGTCGCGGAAATAAGTGAGTGAAAGATGGGATAATGAAACTGATTTATTTTATTGTTTTTGTTTTGTTTTGTTAATTTAATGTTTTGCATTGTCTTTTTTTTAGTGTTTAAGTTTCTGGAAAAATAATAAATATTATTTTAAAAAAAACCAAAAAAAACCCAATGATAACTTCAAATTTGTCCATATTTCTAAATCCTTTTTCACTTCAATCCAACATTTTTCATAATTATCCTTAAATAAATTCACATTTTTAGCAGTCATGTTAACCCCTAAATATTTCACTTTCTTAACCAATGTTAGTCCTGTGTCCTCCTGAAACTTCTCTCTCTCATTCACAGTTAAGTTTTTCTCTATAACCTTAGTTTTCATCTTGTTCAACTTAAAACCTGCTACCTGTCAGATTCTTGAATCAGTTCCAATACCCTTTTAGTACTAGATTCTGGCTCCTGTAAAGTCAATACTAAGTCATCAGCAAATGCTTTCAGTTTGTACTGTTTAGCTCCCACTTGTATACCTTTAACCTCTTGGTCCTTTCTGATCATATTTAACAAAACCTTAAGGACCGATATAAAGAGCAATGGAGAAATTGGGCAACCTTGTCGTGTCCCTTTCTCAGTCTTAAACTCTTCTGTCACTACATTGTTCACAATTAATTTTGCCTTTTGTTCTGAATAAATTGCACCTATACCATTTTCAAAACCTTGACCTACCCCCATCCCCTGTAGATTCTTCTTCATAAAGCTCCAAGAAATGTTGTCAAAGGCTTTCTCTGCGTCCACAAATATCAAGACTGCCTTAGTATTGATATTCACTTGAAGTTTTTCTAGAATATTAATTATATTCCTCATGTTGTCAGACAAATGTCTGCCCCGGAGAAAGCCCGCTTGGTCTTTATGAATTTCTTCTACTAACACCTTCTTTAATCTTTTAGCCAAAATATCTGCAAAAATTTTGTAATCCAAATTAAGCAGCGATATGGGGCGGTAGTTCTTGAGCTGTGTCTTTTCAGTCTCTGTTTTCAGTATAAGTGTAATGTAAGCTTCCTTCCACGACTCTGGTGCCTTTCTCCCTTCCAATATTTCATTGCAGACTTCCTTCAATGGTTGTATTAACCATTCTTTCAAGGATCTGTAATATCTTGAAGTCAAACCATCTGGTCCTGGAGATTTACCTAATTGCATGTTCTGGATGGCCCCTTCCACCTCCTGATCCGTTATTTTGTAATTCAACATTAGCTGTTTTTCCTGAGAGATTTTGTGTAGTCCATTTATTTTCAAAAATCGATCAATGTCCATTTCTTTCTGCTTCTCCTGTGTATAAAGTTGTTTGAAATACCTCTGGAAACACTTCCTGGTCTCCACTGGGTTCTGTATATTCTTTCCTTCCACTTCCAAATTCGTAATAGTATTGAGTTTTTGTCTTTTTTCCATTTGCCAGGCCACACTTATTTGCTGATTCAAATGTCTTTTGCCTCATCTGTTTAATCTTCCATTCTATTTCCTGATTCATCAGCTTCGTGTATTGTACTTGATATAATTTTATCTCTTTCAGAATCTCCTGTGACTTTGGTTTTGCTCTCAGTTTTCTTCTCTCCTTCCTTTATCTTCCCCAGGATTTTATCCTTTTTTTCATTCTGAGTTCTCTTCTTAATTGCATTCTGTTGTATTAGGAATCCTCTCATAACCGCTTTGCTTGCGTCCCAAATTACTCTTTTTTCACTGTAGTATTCATGTTTATCTCAAAATAGTCTCTTAGAGTTTTTTGGGCCTTCTTGGTCACCTCTTCATTCCTGAACAAAGTATCGTTCATCCTCCATCTAAAGGAACCAATTGGCGTCAATTTCATTTCCATCTTCACCGCATTATGGTCAGAACAAGTTTTGGGGCAAATCTCCACTTTGCTGATCTTCGGAGCCAATCCCCTGGTTACCCAGATTTGGTCAATTCTTGTCCATGTCATTTTAGCCTCAGAGAAGAAAGTTCCCTCTCTTCCCAGAGGGTTCTTCATTCTCCAAATGTCAACTAAGTCCATATTTTCAGTCATGTCAAAAAAGGTTTTTGGTAGTCTACCATCTTTGGTGACTACCTGTCTCTGTGCCTTGTCCATATTTGTAGACACCACTCCATTCATATCTCCCATCAAGATCATATTATAGTCCATGTAATCCATCAGAGTCTCATGTAGCTTCTTAAAGAATTCCGATTTTCCTTCATTTGGTGCATAAATACCTACAATCAAGAATTTCTCTCCTTGTGATTGAATTTCAATTGCAACAAATCTTCCTTGGTCATCTTTGAATATGAATTTCGGTGATAGGCTCTCCTTTGCATAAAGGACCACTCCTCTTTTTTTAACTTTATCTGATGAGATAAATTCTTGGCCCAGTCTTTTATTACTCAATATCTTCCTGTGTAGCCTTATCACATGTGTTACTAGTAACCAACTCAAGTCCAACTGTTCTTTTTTCAATAAATGAAAGACTCTCCGCCTTTTTTCTGGGGAATTTAATCCATTCACATTCCAGCTCGAAACCTGCAATGCCATCATGTAATTACGCTGATGTTCCTCCAACTGCACCCAATGCTTGCTCTTCTTCTGTTGGTAGTAATAGTGACACGTTCACTGGGAGATCCAATCCAAAGGATAATGCTGATATATCCAATATTCCCCTGTTTGGTGATCTTCTATCCGATGCTCTCTGCTCTAGTCCTCTATCTGGTGATCTTCTATCCGATGCTCTTGGCTCTTTTCCAAGTCCCTTCTGCAGATCTTCTTCGTATTTGTACAAAAACTTCGCTTTATCTTCTACTGATCTTATTTTTATTTTCCTTCCTTTGAAACTGAAAGATGGACCTTGGGGAAACTCCCAGCTAAAGATGATTTTATTCCTTCTCAGCAGGGCAACAATATCTCCGTAGTTGGGCCTAAGATCCAAAAGATATTTCGGGATGTCTTTAAAAATTTCCACTCTTGACTGTTGTACTTCTAGGTTCTTCTGGTAGTGCCAACCCAAGATTCTATCTCTCTCTTCTTTAGTTCGAAGGGTGATCAAGCAGTCTCTTATTCTATTCTTCTCTTTTTTCCCTCCTCTTCCAAGTCTGAAGGCCCTCACAATTCTAAACTCTTCTTGACCCAAGTCCAAGTCCCAAAAGTCAGCAAATTCCTGTGTAAGAAAGTCTATCAAGTGTTCCTTCTCCAATTCAGGTAGGGCTCTAATCCTTAGATAATCCTCTGTTTTTCTTTAAGTTCAATCATAGCAAGTGTCAACTTATGTTCATCAAGTTGCCTCTGTAGGGCTGGGACTCTCTCTCTCTCTCCAGTTGTGCTACTTTACATTCAGCAGCAACGGCTTTCTCCCTGGCTTCCTCCGCAGTCTGCCGTATCAGAGTAGATTCCTGTATCAATTTCTGGATAGTTTCTGTATTGGTATTCACCTTTTGTCCCAGATTGTTTATACTTTCCGTTGCAACATCCACTTTCTTATTAAGCTGTTCCAATGAATCATTTATCTTACCTAATGCAGCCGCTAAAACCTCTTCTGTCGACATTCCTCTTGGTTTTGATTGTACTGATGCAGAAGCAGCAGCAGAGGAAGCAGGGAGGCCTGGTGTTGAGCCTCTCCTGGTTTGCTGCCAAGTCCTCCCAGACCTTGATGTTTTTTCAGCAGTTGGCTGATCTGTTTTTTCCTTTCCATTTGCCATAACACTTAAAAGATTCAAGGTCAGTCCCAAAGTCTCACGGTTTTTTATCTTGCAGCTGGAAATTCCCCTAGCCCAACTCTTGTAAAGCAACCAGTTTCAAAGGTTTCCACTAGGGGGAAACAGTTTCTATTTATGTTATTTTGTATTAATCAATAATGTCCTCTTTTAAACATAGTTCAAACAATCCAAAGTTAGTTTCAATTTTCAGTTACTTTACTCCTTTTTAAAAGCAGCCAGAGACAGTAGAAACAATGTATTTCTCTTGTTTAGCTAGCTGTCAATGAACGTTCTGAACGCTGTCAATGAACATTCCAAAAGATGTCAGTCCTGCTAGCAGCCCGTTTCCAGGGTCAGAGCGGCGGTATTTTAGCTCTCTTCGCTCTCTCCTGCAGGCATACTCAGTCCACAACTTCCCCCCCTCTTCTCCTGCCTGCAAGGGGGGTGGGTTAAGTTCTTTACCGATGGAAATTTAGTCTTTTACAAAAGGCTTTCCAAGACTTCAGCTTGCAGCCTCATTGCTTCAGTCTATTTACAAAAGGGGGAAGGCGGACTTCCTGTATTAAGCCTCCCCGTTACAGTACCAAATTAAACGTTTAAAAATCCAATTCTCCTGCTTCAGCTCTACTCACGGGTAATTAGTTTGAAGTCAAATTGTCCACAGGAAAAAGTCAGCGCTCTCCGGCAACAGCTATGCGGCTTCGCTCCGTGGAAGAAGCAGACGATTCGAAGCACCGCGCCGCTCACCCCACGTTGCTCCGGACCCCCGAAACCGGGTTCCCCGCAAGTAGGGGAGGCGCAAAGGGTGCCCGCCGAATCCCACACTCACAGGCTTCTCCCTCCTGTGATTTTTTACGGGTCTCCGCCTTCACCGTGGTGGCCAGACCCAAATTCCCACGGGGCAAATTCCTCCCGATCAGAGGAATTCCGCCATTAACGGAGGCACCAACCCAGAAGCTACAACCACAGAAACTACAAGGTTTATAGCATTATTTATTCCTGCATTGTAGATTCATTTTGTGAATTAATGAAAGTCATGTTATTGGCAGAATGATTACCAAGTTTTACCAGCATGTTCTGGCTCTGGTGTTTGCCATAAATGAGCTTAACAAGAATCCCAAAATACTGCCTAATGTGACACTTGGTTTCCACATATGTGACACCTATTATGATGCAAGGATGACCTATCACACCACACTGGATCTGATCTTCAAGTCCCATAGGTTTTTTCCAAACTACAAATGTACCACAGAGAAAAACCTCCTAGCCGTCATTGGAGGACTGGGCTCTGACACTTCTTTCCATTTGATGGATGTCTTAGCTCTATATAAGATACCACAGGTACGATATGTGCATGGGGGCTGGTGGGAATATATATTTATATGTATTTACAACTAGGAATAATGTGATGGTTCAGAAGAAATAACTAGTGATATTGAATTTGCTTGAATTTCAAAGACCAGAAAAAGACCCTAATGACAAAGACCCTACTCCTAACTTATCTACACAGTATATATATATTTTCTTACAGCTTACATATGGCTCATTTACCATAGAAGAGACCAAAATAATGGAAGTTCTTCCCTTTTACCGCATGATCCCAAACGAAAACATTGAGTATATGGGAATTATATTGTTACTTCAGCATTTTAGGTGGACCTGGGTTGGGCTCTTTGTTGTGGATGATAACAGTGGAGAGCAATTCCTAAAAATACTGGAGCCATTGTTTTCCAGAAATGGAATCTGTTCAGCCTTCACCAAAAGAATCCCACAAGAAGCTCATATGGAGGATTTCATAAATCAGTTTTTTGATTCTAGTTCAATTAATTTGTCTTCCCAAGATTGTAAAGCTCGTACAATTATCATGTATGGAGAATCTTTAATAATTTTGCATCTGAGAGTTTTTATATATTCACAAGATTCAGGAAATACAAAAAACCCATTATTTGGAAAGGTGTGGATTGTGACAACCCAAACAGATTTTATATTAACAGGTGCAGCAAGAGGATGGGATTTTCAGATATTCCAGGGTGCCATTTCATTTGCCATTCACACAAACGATGTTCCAGGTTTCAGGGAATTTCTTCAGAATATAATCCCTACTAGGACGGAAAGAGATGGTTTCCTCCAAAATTTCTGGGAGCAAGCATATGATTGTTCCTTTCCAGATCCAGGTATGCCTGTGATGGATGATGACACTTGTACTGGAGAGGAGAGGCTGGAGAGTCTCCCTGCAGGTCTTTTTGAAATTCACATGACTGGACACAGCTACAGTATCTATAATGCTGTTTATGCTTTGGCCCATGCTTTGCATGCCATGGACTTTGGTAGATCCAAACCTAAATCAAAGGTAGTTGGTAACAGTGTCGAACTGCAGTCTCTGCAGCCTTGGCAGGTAATGTTTCCCCAACAAATGCTTCATATTTCAATGTACATACTTATACAGGGTGATAATACATTAGTTTTTGTCCTGCTTGGATAAATAATGAAAATGGTACACATATTCTTGTTTTGAAAACAGCGTTTACAGTTCCTTTCTATGAATGAAATTTGAAACGAAGGCCATTCTGAAATCTTAAGCATGCTGTTTTTCTTTTTTGATTTCCTTCTCTTTTTGCAAATAGCTCCACCATTTTCTTCAAGGCATCTCATTTAACAATTCAGCTGGAGAAACCATGTCCTTTAATGATCAATGGGAAATGCGTGGTGGATTTGACATCATGAACCTGGTCACCTTTCCCAACAATTCCTTTCAGAGAGTAAAAGTTGGAAGTGTTGCTCCACATGTTGCTGATAGGAAAGAAATTACCATTAGTGAGCATAAAATTGTGTGGCATGGATATTTTAATGAGGTATTGATTCTACGTCTATACTGCAGAACCCATTGTGTTGAACTATGAAGTCAGGAGTAATCTTTTCTCCATAACCCGACATGGCAATGGCACTTGAAACTCTAGCGTGAATTCAATTTTTCCTTTCACATTCAGAAACCAGAGGTGGTTTCAGGGCAGCACAAACAGTTCCTCCCACACTGGGCACAAAGCAGAGGAGGCTCCCAGTTAGCAATTGCCCAGCTTGGGAAGGAGCTGGGAGGGACCTATGACGCTGTTGATGCTGTTTCCCCTCCTTCACTCTTGGGTGGGTGGGTATTATGCTGCCATGTCTTCTGGGCTCCATTTGACACTAAGACTAATGGAATTATCAATACATTTTACAAAGGGTGTCTTTTAGTACATCACATTATGCCAGCTACATGGATGTCATGATCTACCAAAATAAACCATAGAAAATGTTTGGATTGGCACACACCACTACACAAAGATTGTGTCTTCCTGACAACATTATCTTAGTGAGCTGTCTTGCCTGTTTGCCTCTTTTGACCCATTTCTTTGCTCTTGTAGTGCAGTATCTCAACAATGAAATGTACACCACCATATCACTTCAGCAGAAATTGGATTGTACTAGATGAACCATGTGGGCTCTTAAGGTCCATTTCAATTCAACAACTCATTGTAGTGTCTTTGCATGTTACATGTGAAAGAGTTGGAGCTCAATTGTAGAGCATATGTATTCCATGCAAAGGGTCCCATGTTCAGTCTTTAGGATCTCCAGGAATGACTGCCTGAAATTCTAGGGAATTGCTGGTGCTATATTTCAACATCACTGTCTCAATTGTCTGAGTTACTATTTGACACTAGTGTAAGGTCTTCTGTGTTTCTGCTCTTTAAAAAACAATTCATATTCCACTTAATTACAATAGTCTCTAAGTGGTTTATAAAGATATCATACAAAAATCATCAGTGCGTGCTATAAAATCAAACCACATTAGCAAGACCACTGGAATCAAACAAGAACAACACTGGAAGTTCAAAAGGGGCATCATAAAAATTCTACAAGTAGTAAAGACGCACTCAGTCATGGCAGGCTGGAATAAAGCAGAATCGGGAATGAATGTGGGGGTGATGTTTATGAAAATATTGGCTATTCAAGTTCTGCCAGATCATAGTAACATCCTCTGACATTTAAGGTCACCTTGATAACAATCACGATAAGAACAAAAACTTCAAACTGTATTACATTCAGCATTATTTTGTCATTCCTGCATGTATTCTTCTGAACATTTTCAGGCAACTTACCTAGAGGCACATCTATAAGATCTGCCATGATAATTACAATTTCACATGAACCAATGGCAGATGGGGAAACAGAATACTTATTACTGTAAATAAAACAAGTTACACTGGCACAAACATCCTGCATCTATATATCATAGATTATTTCGTTTCATTTGAATGTGCTGACGGCTGTCTCTATTGTTATGATACTTCATCTTTTCAATATAACTAAGTATTTAAAAAACAAAAAAACTAAAAATGTATATGGACAGGTGGTTCCTCTTTCTGAGTGTAATGAATATTGCCACCCTGGTCATCAGAAAAAAAGGAAGGAGGGTGAAAAATTTTGCTGCTATGATTGTGCTCCATGTCCAGATGGGAAGATTTCAAACCAAACGGGTAGGTCATGTCATCTTTCCATAACAAAGGGTGAAAATATTTTGCTATATCCAATGAATTGCCACTAATTTGGAATTCCCCCACCTCAACCCCTTTTACAGATATGGAAGACTGTTTCAAATGCCCAGAAGATCAGTATCCAAGCAAGAACAGAAGTCAGTGCAACCCCAAAATCATAAATTTTTGTCTTATGAAGAACCTCTAGGAAAAGGCTTAGCTTCAGTTACGGCTTCTTTTTCTTTCATCACAACCTTAGTGTTTGCTACCTTCATTAAGCATAAAGATACCCCCATTGTAAAAGCAAACAACCGGGACCTCACCTACATCCTCCTGGTCTCCCTCCTGCTCTGCTTCCTCTCCTCTTTGCTATTCATTGGCCAACCTGAGAAAGTGACCTGCCTTCTCCGACAACCAACATTTGGAATCATTTTCTCAGTGGCTGTTTCTTGCATGTTGGCCAAGACCACCATTGTTTCTCTAGCATTCCTGGCCACAAAACCAGGATCAGAAGTGAAGAAATGGTTGGGGAAGAAAGTATCTTATTCAATTGCTGTTTGTTGTTCACTGGTTCAATTGTGCTTTTGCACGGTGTGGCTCTCAACCTTTCCTCCATTCCCTGATTTAGACATGCATTCAGTGAATGAAGAAATCATTGTACAGTGTAATGAAGGGTCTGTCACCATGTTCTATTGTGTCCTGGGCTACATGGGTCTCCTGGCTATCAGCAGCTTCATTGTGGCCTTTCTGGCCCGCAAGTTACCTGACAGTTTTAATGAAGCAAAGTTCATCACTTTCAGCATGTTGGCATTTTGCAGTGTTTGGTTGTCCTTTGTTCCAACTTACCTGAGCACCAGAGGGAAAGGCATGGTGGCTGTGGAGATCTTCTCCATCCTGACGTCCAGTGCTGTGTTACTGGGATGCATCTTTTTCCCTAAGTGCTACATCATTTTGCTGAGGCCTGAACTGAACAGCAGGGAGCAGATAATGAGGAGACAACATTGAGGAATTCATCCTCTTTTCTCCAGTCATACTGCTTTGCTTGATGGTCAAGTATTTTGGCACAACATGGGATGATGTATTTGGTTTCAAATGCAAGAACAATTATTTTCTGGTTTTTTTATGTTGTACAACTAATATGTTGACTTTGCAATCATAAAGCTCCAGAGTGTTTGTGGTTTACCTACTAGAGAGGAATGGCAAACTAAGCTGTAAGACTACACTGAAATGGCAAAACTGACTGGAAAACTCATAAACAAAGAAGACAAGAAATTCAAGAATTAATTGGAAAAGTTCATAACTTATTTAGGAGACAACTGTAAGCAGATAAAAATATTAGCAGGATTTTAATCTCACTTGTAATGTAACAAATACTATGGAGAATATGGAGAGATACAAAACAAAGACTATGAAATAATATGCAGTTGGAAATGTTCACAATAGGACCCATCAGGCATGGGGGGAAGTGTCGACATTCAGAGAAATCTTTTATGGATATGTATTTGGTATTGTAATTAATTTACATTTGTAATATCAAATAAAAATGATTTCAGAAAAAAGAGGGTATGTGTGTGACGGGGTGAACTCCCATTGCTTGGTCCCAGCATTACCAGCAATTGCAGATAAATAGGTACCTCTACGGCAGGAAGGTAAACAGTGTTTCCGTGCCAGAAGGGCATAGTCATCTGGACACATGACTGGGAAAGCTGTCTGTGGACAAACGCCGGCACCCTGGGCCTGAAAGTGGAGGTGAGCACCGCACCCCACAGTCAAATTCAACTGGACTTATACATCCAGGTTCCTTTACTTTTTACCTTTTACACCAAATAGGGTACTGATTCTCCATGAACATGTCTTACAATTCTCTATTTAAGGTCAGACCACCCTTCCTCCCTTAAAAAAGAGAAAAAGTTTTTAAAATGCAGAATATAGGTAATTGCCTAGGAGCCACAGAAACGACCATTAAGGTGTCCTTTTTCCTTTGGTGACTCTCTTTACTGCTCTTGCAGACTGGAAGGAAAAGGTTAAGTAAATCAGAGGAAGTGGCTTCTTTTTTGTAATTACATTTATAACCCACATTTCTTGTTTAAAGTGGAGTACATTGTTCTACTCTCCCCCAGCTGTGAGCAAGGTAAGACTCACACTGACTGGGAGCCTAAGGGCCACCTTCCTGCCTCTCTCCACCTGGTCCACGGAGCGGCCTGCCAGTCTTCATAAGTACTGCTGCTGCTGCCCAGCAAGGACTGGGGTACTTGGGGAAAAGTTTCGTCGGGAGGTTTTGCTATTATTCCTATTAATTTTTTGTATCTTTATTTTTATGTGGAAATTGTTCAGTTTGGTTATGAAGTTTTTGATGTCTTTTATTTCTTTTTATGACTTTGCTGTGTTTGTAATTATGTAAATCTTTTCATATTGTAAGCTGCCTTGAACATTGTTTTAACTGTGGAAAGGCGGCATACAAATAAAAGGATGGTGATGGAATAATGATGATGATGACTGGATCAAGGTCTCTGACGGGGTTCAGGCTGAGCAGGGGTCAAAGCCCTGGTCTCCCAGGGCATTACCATTTCCCCTTTAAGTTGCACCACACTTGAAAGAGTGTAAGGATATGGTCTAATGTGGAAACAATATACATCTATCAACACCCAAGAAGACCCAAGACAAGAAAGATGTGCAACAAGTTGTATTTAGTAAAAATAATAACTATAGAAACCAAAACCAATGAGGCTGGGATGGTGAGGTGGCTTAATGGGAGCATTTCAACTCTCCCATTACCTAAGCCTGCTGCCAACCACATGCTGTCATCATGCATCAAGAAATCTCCTCCACCTTCACTGCATGCTGCTCGGGTTAAGTACTTAATTCATTCTGGAGGTCCGTTCTTAACTTGAAACTGTTCTTAACCTGAAGCACCACTTTAGCTAATGGGGCCTTCTGCTGCTGCCGCGCCGCCGGAACACGATTTCTGTTCTCATCCTGAAGCAAAGTTCATAAACCGAGGTATTATTTCTGGGTTAGTGGAGTCTGTAACCTGAAGCATATGTAACCTGAAGCGTATGTAACCCAAGATACGACTGTATATGAACATGATATGCACACAATGGCCCCATTGGACGTCATTCATCCTGATGTACCTGATAGGTCAAAACACCACTCTGATGGGGAAATGAGAACTGGGAGGAAAAAAGATTGTCATTTTCAGCAGGGGGCTAGTCCACTGTCCCTCAGACCATGTGGGGGGCCAAACTATATTTTGAAAAAGAAATAATGAACAAATTCCTATGCCCCACAAATAACCAAGAGATGCATTTTAAATAAAAGAACACATTCTACTCATGTAAAAACACCAGGCAGGCCCCACAAATAATGCAGAGATGCATTTTAAATAAAAGGACACATTCTACTCATGTAAAAACACGTGGGCCTGATTTAGAAGGTGATTGGACCGGATCCAGACCTTCGTTTGCCTACCCATGCTCTATAAAAAAGTGGCAATGAGATTTTACCAATGTCACATCACATGATGTAATGGCAACATTTTAAGGAAGCCTAAAATAAAGGATACAGTGGTACTTTAGGTTACAGATGCTTCATGTTACAAACACTTCATGTTACAGACTCCGCTAACCCAGAAATAGTACCTTAGGTTAAGAACTTTGCTTCAGGATGAGAACAGAAACCGTGTGGTGGCAGCAGCGGGAGGCACCATTAGCTAAAGTGGTGCTTCAGGTTAAGAAAGAACCTCGAAAACGAATTAAGTTCTTAACCCGAGGCACCACTGTATATTTATAATAAATTATATCAAAGTTGTGTGTTCTGGTGTTTTGCATAAAATACTACAGACATTCTCAACACAGCCTTTCCCTTTGATTTCTTAGTTCCGCTTGATGCCAAAAAAGGGGTATAAAATGTTAATTTCCCCTCATAAACACACAATTACCTACAGCACTATGATTTGCTCAGGTGGTCAAAGCTCCAGAGACTTTCAAAAGGGTAGGAGAAAACAGTCAGCAAGCAAGTCTGAAAGAGATTATAAATGAACACGTGTGCTATGGGAAATTTGGATTAAATGCAAGAGGCAAGCAACGCTGTCTCTGACATTTTTTCTCTGTTGCCTTTTATAAGCTCTATGAAAGGAAATAGGTGCAGGGCAACTTATATGTAGAAAGAAGCTTTGAGGAAAGCATGTTACGAAAAACATTGCTGCTGCTTCTTTTGTCTTCCATTGTGCCCAAAGTAGGTCCCCTGAAATGTCTCACAGGTGATCCCCTGCCTATACCACATGAATGGTACCAGCCAGGTGGTCTCCTCATTGGTGAGATTACTTCTCTTTTCTTTTACTTTTTCCATGAAGTTTGGTTCAAGGAACATCCTACTCAGAACCTCTTTGACATCCCACAGTAAGCATCCTCTTATCTGAACCGTTTAAATTGCATGTATTTAGAGAAAATATGGTTGCTGTAAATAGTTATGAAACATTAAGAAGTAACCTCTATGTTTATTCCTTGTGCACTGGAAAGAGAGATTAAATATCTCGATATATTTTTCTCAGGACATGACAAGGCACTATGCATTACAGATTTTTTTAAAATGCATATGTTATATATGACAAAGCACAGGCAAAGGTTTGGCTGGCAAGAAGAGTGATAGTTGGCTGTGGTGAATCAGGAGCAAATGTAAAATATATTCCCATTCCTGTGAGATTTGAGTGCTCATGTAGATAAGTGGGATTACAGCATAACAGTTTCATGAATTGTAGATACATAATTGGAATTAGAAAAAAATGTCTATTGTCAGGATAGTGACCAAGTTCTGGCAATATGTATATCCCTTGGCTTTTGCTGTAAATTAACTCAACTCAGTTACACACAGGTATGACTAGGTTTGTAGCATAAAGAATTCATGCATTTCCGACTCTTCTTCTGAATTAATGAGAGTAATACTACTGACAGTGTTGTTACCAAGTTCTACCAGCATGTGCTAGCCTTGGTGTTTGCCATAAATGAAATCAACAAGAATCCCAAAATACTACCTAATGTGACACTTGGTTTCCACATCTCTGACACCTATTATGATGCAAGGATGACCTTTCGCGCTGCACTGGATCAGATCTTCAAGTCACATAGGTTTCTCCCCAACTACAAATGTGCCACAGAGAAAAACCTATTAGCTGTCATTGGAGGACTTAGCTCTGACACTTCATTCCATTTGATGGATGTCTTAGGTCTATATAAGATACCACAGGTAGGATATGTGCATGGCTGCTGGTGGTAATATTATATCTTTCTGATTTTACAACTTGTAATAATGTGATGGTTAAGAAGAAAGACTTGGGGATATAGTGTATATTTGTATTTTCATATATAATGAACGTTTCCATAACTTGAGAAATTTCAGCCAGAAAAAGTCAAAAAATCTTTTGAAAAATATATTTTGTCATGCAGAAGTTCCTAATAAGTGGCTTCTGAAATATTTAGAGTACTCCTAACTTACCTCTGAAATATTTAGAGTACCTCTAAGATAGATAGATAGATAGATAGATAGATTTATTGCGGCCATTGGCCCATATCGAAAACAATACATCAGAATTTATCCATAAACAATACAATTTAAACAGTTCCAAGTTAAAACACCCTTATAAAACCAATTTTACTTTAGTTAAGTAAACACTATACACAATAAGCTCCCTCTATGTAAACCGCAATTCCGATCCATCAGATTTTGGGGGTATACGTCTTAGTTCTGGCACTTATTGATGGTTCTTAAGTTTAGCTAAGCTGTCAGAAACATACAGTGATCCATTTCTCCTCTTTTGAAATAAAACATTAATCAGGTATCTAGCGACTGCAAGGGATCTACTTGTATCTTCGTCGTTTAATAAGTATATTATTTGGGCTTCCTGAGGACTGTCAGCAATTCTCGATAAATATGGGGCCAGAAACTTGGACCGTGAAGCCGAATGTAATGGACAAC